ACACTGTGCTGGTAACTCAGAGGATGAGGAAGCAAAGTCGGTGGTGCTGTTCCCCAGGAGTCGGGGTGACCCACGGTCAGCACACGCCTGCGTGACCACGGCCCGTACTTCATGGCTCATTGTGTGGCCAGCAGTGTTGTAAAGTGAGGTCACATCAGCTCCATCAAGTCAGATGACAGTGAATGAAAAGATAAGTGGATGCCTGCAGTGACGTCTGCGTGCAAAGGACATGATAGCCCGAAGAGTCAGTGATTCTTTCTACCAAGGGGTAACCATGGGGACGGGATAATGAGGATGGCGGGAAAGGTTTCATCAAAAGGTGGTAAAAAAGACGCTCCAAAAGAGGTCGGTAATTAATTCCTCTTTATAGCACCTCCACAATGGAGAGGGCACGTTCCAACTTCTGTTTAGACCTAGTGGCCTTTTAAGGTAGATTTTTATTATTTTTCGTAAGTGTTTATATTTTAATTAAAACCTGGCATTATGGAAAATGTAGAAAACACAGACAAGGAGAAAATTAAAGTCTTGGAATTTTACTGCTGAAAATTAATCATAGCTATGCACTTTAGAAAGCTTGTCCCAGTGTCGCCCATTGTACTTTGCCTTCACCTAAATGGCACTGTCGGGATAAAAATCTACTGCGTTAAATGTTAGAACTAACCCATCCACTATCACCCCAGTCGTCCTGCATCTTGTAATTAGGTCAAGTTCACATCGTGGGTCCTGGCTGGTGTTAGTTTGATTTTCAATGTTCATTTTAAACTACTTACCTTCCTTGATTCAGTCTATATATTGGTTACCAATTGCCGCATAGTGAATTACCCCCAAACAGAACAACTTTTTGTTGCATTTTCTTGGCCTAAAACCACTTTTATTATCTCCGAGTTGCTGGAGATCAGGTGTCCCGATGGGCTCGCGTGGTGCTGGGCAGAATTCAGTCACCTCCCAGGAGGGGGGGCCCACTCAGCTCCTCACTGAGGCAGCCCCTCCGGAGGGTGCCTGTCAGCGCGGCCTCTGCTGCTGTGGCAACGGGGGAAATCTCCGTCATCTGACACCCAGCCCCGGGTCGCGGAGGGCTCATCCTCGTGGCCGTATTCTGTTCACCAGGAGCAAGGCCCTGGGTCCGCCCCACACTCCAGGCGAGAGGGTGGCCCAGGCCGACGGGGCCAGGAGGCGGGATCTCAGCACCCATGTCTGAAGCTGCCGCCCCGTGGGTCGTAAAGATTTTCAGTGCGCTTTCCCCTTGTTCAAAAATAACATGATCAAACATGGATAAATTCTTCTCATTTTAACTTTCTCATGTATTTCTGTTCCCTTCCTTTGATTAATTTTGGAGACTAGAATTTCTAGAACAACTTTCAATAATGGAAGCTAATAGGAGATCCTTATTTTAGAAATAGCTTCTTTTATTTCATCATTATGCTTCATGCTGGTAGATGTTTTGAGGCATATTTTTAGCAAGGCAAATTTCTTCATATGTAGAAAGAAAACGTATCTTGCAACTCAGTCTTTTATTGTTAAAACAATTGCTTTTGCATTCCAGTCTCTTTTAGGTTAATGCTCAGTCTTAATGAGTTCCTTGCTCTGCCCCTGATTTCCCCTAAAACCACTTGGTGTTTGTGAGTGTTTTGGCGGGGAAGATGATGCGTTGTTAGTACAGGAGAGGAAAACGTGGAAATGATGTTCAAGTAGATACACTGTAGGACACAGCCATTGTCAGACTTCATTTGTTTAGGGGAATAACATTTTATATTTTACATTTTCTCACCTAATAATCCTACCTATTAGGCAGGGGTAATGTTAGCTTATCTGATCAGTAACACAATATGAGTATTTTCTTTATCATTGCCTTTCTAGTTATTAAGAATGTTTTTGAATTATTTTATGCTTATTTTAATTATCACTTGTTATTAAATTCCATTTACATTGCTTTATGATCAAATACGCCCGCCTGTGCTATTTCTGCTTAGGATAACTGAGGCCCGGGGAGAGCGGACATGCGGTCTGTTCTTTACGATCCGTGGAAAAAAGGAATTGAATGGTAGGTCTCATTTACCATGTTTAGAGTAGAACATGTCTTCTAGATTGTGCCTTACAAGCTACCGTTTTCGATTCTCCGGAGTCCACCTTCGTGTGTTTTGCACCTCCTCGATCTCTTAGCTGCGAGCGGCGATGTACAGCCTGCCCACTTACCCGAGAGCAAGGACAGCCGCGTGTCTTATGGATTGTAGGATGACATCGTCGTTGTCGCCGGGGCAGAATAAAGGGAATTTGGGTCAGGACTGGTTCCACGGGTGCTGAAGGCTCGAAGGCCGTGCGCAGGCGACCCGGGGGGGAGCTGCAGGCGGCAGCGTCCAGCCCTGTGCACAGGGGGCCTGGGGTAGAGCAGCCTGGGACGGTGGGCACGGGCCCCCACAGCTGCCAGCGCTGTGACGATGGTGACAGGAACAAGCATGAGGAAGGAAGGCCCTCCCCTTGTCTCCAAACTCCAAGCTCCCCCCAGTGCCTATTACTTGGCGTAACATAACTCAAGCCCCTTGGCAAAGGAGTCTGGGAAATAGATGTAGTTTATACAGTCCCGGCCCGACGCCCCTCAGGGGCAGAGTGTAGAAGGGGGAAATTGGGATGCAGTGCCAACAGGGAAAGGCGGTGCCATGGTTTCACTTAGCCTTCTGTACAGTCTTAACTACTTTTGACATGTATATGTTTTCGGTGAGTATGTGGCAAGCTCATTTGTGATTCCTTTGACAGATGGGACGTAATCTAGGGACACTGTTCCACGAATGGCCGTGGAACTGGGAGAGAATTAAGCCAGGTGAGTTCGGGTAATCAGTCTCGAAGCTAATTGGGCCAGAAGAGTGTTAGGGCCTGAAAAAGGTAGAGAAGCAAAAACAAGAGAGAAACAATATGTGAGATTAAAAATGTTAACAATTATGCCAGACTGTCCAAGAGTGACTTTCAGATGCTGCCTGTCGGTGAGTTAAAGAGAAGACACGGGGTGTGGACGCCTCCCTCCCATGCAGGGGAGGGGCGGGCTTCCTTGGGGGGGTGCCCTGGAGGCCAGGGACTGTCCCCATCTGCTTCTTCTCACTTGTCTTAGCCCGCAGCGGAGTCTTCCAACTGCAGCACCGCCAACATGTGGCAGGTAATTCTGTCTTGAAGGTCACGCCTGCCCATGCAGGATGTTTAGTAGCATCCCTGGCCTCTATCCACTAGCACCTTCTGATCACAGCCAAAAGTGTCTCCACACGTTGCCAATTATGTGCTGGGGACAAAAGCCTCTCCAGCTGAGAGCTCTGGTTGACTGCATCTAAGCCGCATCCAAGGTTTCTTTCTTCTTTCCTTCTAGTTGTTTGGACAATGCTCAGGGCGTGGGTCTGACTCGACAGTCCGCAGGTTGCCGCCGGCTTGAGTGAGTCTGGGAGAAGCCGGAGCGACGTGCATGGGCCTGGGGCAGAGCCAGATCGGACCCTGTCCCCTCTCCCAATACCAGCGCGCGTTGCCTTACACGTTGGCCTGAGAGGACAGTGTAGGTTTTCTGCATGACCAGCCCTCCTCCAGGTCTTGGGGCCACAGGAAAGTTATGGGGGCAGAGCTGGGGCTGCTCGGGAAGGCCATGTTCTTGATGGAGAGGTAGAGCAATTTTTTTATTTTTTTAATATTTCAGTTACAGTTGACATACAATATTATGTGAGTTTCAGATGCATAGCCTAGTGTTTCGACATTTATATAACTTATGAAGTGATTCCCCTGGTCTAGTGCCTACCTGGCGCCACCCCCAGTTATTACGATATCATTGACGATATTCCTCATGCAGTACTTTACATCCCCGTGACTACTTTTGTAACTACCAATTCCTGCTTCTTTATGCCTTCCACTTTTCCCCACAGCTCCCTAAACGTTTCCCATCCAGCAACGATTAGTTCGTTCCCCGTTTCAATGAGTTTATTTCTGTTTTGTTGCTTCACTTATTTGGTTTTTTTAGACTCCACATATAAGTGAAATCATAGGTATTTGTCTTTCTCTTCCTGACTTATTTCACTGAGCATAATGCCCTCTAAGATAACGCGTTTAGCAAATCCTTACAAATGAATTCTATCCTGACAGTGAAGGTTGATGAAAGGAAGCCCCAAGCTGTTAGAAGTCAGAGAAGAGCAGCACACGCAGGAGACAGGAGCAGAGCCAAGGTTTGCTTTGTTTTAAGTCAGATTTACTTCTTAAAGTAGGAGATTATCGTGGCTTATCCAGACACATGCACGATCCTCCCAGGGTTCTAACGGGAGGAGGGAGGCAGGCACGAGTGTTAGGAAGTGTGAGGGGTGAAGCCCATCGCTGGCATTACAGATGGTAAAAGCCTGGCTGCTGGTGGTGAATGGCAGTGACCCCCCATTAATGTCATGACCATGGAGGAAGGGGACGGTCTCCAGAAAGGAACGCAGCCCTGCTGTGGTCTCCCGGGGGGCAGGGAAAGCAAGTGGCTGTGCCCAGCAAAAGGTGGGAACCGGAGCAGCTCCCTGGGTCTCAGCCAGGGGCCCGAAGCACCGCCTTTGGAAAGGCCAGGGAGCACAGGTCTTTTCTGCCGGGGTGACTCTGCCCCGCTGTGCTGAAGGCTCCTGGCCAAGTCATGGGCATGGGGAGCTCTGAGTGCAGGTGTTTCGTGGACTGCCCCTCATTGGGGATGGAGCCCCACTGCAGGCGGACAGCAGTGTCCCCAGTGGAGGGTGCCAGGGCCAGGCACAGACGATGGGGATGGTGAACGTGTCCCCACGCAGCCCGGAGCTCCACCGCCGCCTCGTTCACACCAGACAGAGCGATGGCGACCAAACAGCAATGGAGTGAAAATGTAGCCCGCGGATTTGTAAAGTAGGTTTTGTGTTTGCTGCATTTGCTTTGTTATTTATTGAGGACTCGGTCAGAATCCCCGTGTAAGAAAAGATGGCAGGAAAGAGAGATTGAGAGGGAGGAAAAGAACCATCCAAACCAACTACTCCCAAAAGGCCTCAGTCCTCCTCACTGGGTGTCATGAGGTCGACGTGTGGCTGGTGCCCCATCGGCAGGCAGCACGGCCGGCCGTTTAAACATCGCCCAACGTGGATTTCTGTTTCGATGCAGAAGTATCGGCAGGAGCCATTGGGGCGCTCACAGATGTCCTTGAATCTGCCCTCGGCTGTGCAGAGAGGAGAGTCATTGTAACCGCTTATTAGTCTCCCTGAATGTCTATGGATTCACATGGAGTGGGAGAGTGTCCAGAAACAATGTTGTGTGGATTGTTGTTTTTGTTATCGATTGATTCCTTAAGCCGACACTTAAAAAAAATCTGCTTTCACACAAAAATCTGGATTTTGGGCAAAAATCAGGCAATGCTCCTAGGGCTACCCGCCCCCCGGCTCGTCCCAGCCTTTCCTACGCCTCAGCATCTCCTAACACCGAGAAAAGATCCATGTGGCTTTGCAATCGGTCCTGTCCTGCCAATTCCCTAGAGGGAATTGGCTTTTTAAAGAAATCGCGGTCTCCCTTTCTCCCGCTCCTGTCTTCCTATGTGGAACTGAAATGTAGACCTGCATGGAAGTGGGAGGGAGGCTCCCTATCTTCCTGGGGAAGGGGACACTGTGGCTGCACACCGAGTGTGCGGGTGGTGTCCACGTCAGCCTTCCCACCACCCTCGTGCTTCACACAGGCCTTGTCTCCCTGGCTGTGGTCTTTGAGGTGGCGACTCCGTGCTGGAAACCGTCGCGTGCCTTAGTTCTTCTTGAGGGCAGAACAAATACACCTCCTAAAAACATCAACTCCAACTTCATGTAGGGCCTAAAGTATTACTGTCCTGGAGGTGGGCTCCACACTCGGAGATGCTCAGTTCCCAAAGCGGGTTAATTCTGAGTGGTCCCCCTACGTGACAAAGCATTCCTTCTCCATGGCAGCTGCTTACGGTCCTGCTGGCCGTGAGACAGGCGTCAAAGCCAGCACGTCTGGGTTTCTCTACTGTGCAATGCGAGAGCGCTTCCTGGACAGCTTAGCGTGTCATATACGTCCAACAAACATCTCTGACATTGCAATGCATTACACTGAATTCAACTCATCGATGTCCACAAAGAAATCAGTTAATGGACATGGAGACCAAATATGCAACATCATATTTCTACCTAAAATGTGAATTGGGTAATAATACTAAGGGCATATTGTAGTTGTTTTTTAATCAGTGTTCACTGTAATTGTTGAGCATTATGTAGAAATCACTGGAACCCGAGTGTTCCATTCCCCGGGCTGCACCTCTTTCTTCTACCTGTAACTGGCTCAGCTAGTGCGTACAGAGCCCCCACGGCCTTGGGCTGCAATTGGCCTGTTGCCACTAGAAGGGTCATCTGAGATTGGTCTGTTAGAGGATGAAGCGCTGACACGTCCTGTGACACGTTATAAATCACGCTTGGCCGTCGCTCTGTTGTGGGACTTCCTGCGCTCTACCACAGGGTTGCCTTCCCGCCTGACCCTGCTCCTGGATGATGGATTCCTTGAGGGCAGGAACCCCACCTCATTCTTTTCTGTACCTACATCCCAGAACCTGGCTCCAGGCTCGGCAGGTAATAGTAGGTATTACAGCAAAAGACGGTGGAGTCATTGGTTTATATAGAGCTATTTTCCATCCTGTTAACACGTGGGCATGGAAGTCTGTTCTTACCAGTACTGCACACATCTTGGAATTACGTGTGCAATTTTGTGGCAGGTGGCATTTCCTTTTCAAATCACAAAGGAGCTCTGTTAAAGGAGAATTGTTACTCACGTATAGGAATCCAACTCACTTGAAGGGGATTTTCCTTCTGTTTGTGCCACTCATGCCCACACCCTTGTAGAGTGAGGGGCGGTCAGCACACTGCACACGTAGGCAGAGACGCACACGCACGCATGTGTGCACACCCAGACCTTTACTAAGGCAAAGGTCACCTGGAAACCTTGGGGAGACCACCTAGAACACCCTTAGCACAAGCCAATGCCATGGTTCTCCCTGCGACGCCGGCCCTGCAGTCAGGGCCTCTAAGGCTCAGTGCCTGCAAGCGTGGAGGACAGGTCTTTCCCTCCTCGTGGGGTGCTTTGGGCTTTGGGCTTCCTTTTGGTCATGTTTTGTTCTCCACAGTTCTCATTTATGAAACCTCTCCTTCATCCCATGTTAATGCTGTTGTGGGTGGGGCTTGTTGACTCCTCCCTGGACTATATAGCAACCAAGGGGGCCTGCCTATGACTTGAAAGTCAGGGGTCATCCTACCTTTTTTTTCTGTAGGCTGCTTCCCAGTAGGGCACACAGTGATGCTTAATTAATATGTATCTGAGAAAGGAACTGTTTTCCCACCTCCAGTCTCCCCCGGCCTCTGCCTCCCCCTCTACTTCCTCCAGATTAGTTCTCCGAAAACAGTAGAAACTTGCCTCACAAGCTGCAACCCCTCCGCCCTCCCAACTCCCACCCCCCCAAACCTGAAGTACTAGCTACCAGTTCGCAGTAAGCAGCCCTTTAAAACCCAGGCTGAGCTAGGGAAGTCTGGATTCGCCGAGAATAGGCATGTCCCCCAGTGTACTTTCTGTAGAGACCTGTGGGACGTGTCCTTTTTTCAAACAGAAAGCATAGCAATCAACAATTCCCTCAAGTGTAAGCAGACTGACCACACTTACACAATCCCTGGCTACTTTGCTACTTCTTCCCATCCCCTGAGGCCCTGAATTCTCAGGAAGAGATAAAAAGACAGTCTGCTTAATGTAGGGCAGTTGAGTTGCTTATTCCTCTTCGATCTACACTTCCTAGAGTTGTAGGAAATTTCCTGATCTACTCTGGGTGTCTGGTCAGCTCCTAGAGTGAAAGCGAGGGGACGTGGACTCTACCGCAGGGTCACCTCTGTCCTGTGTTCAAGTTCTGCTTCAGAAGACAAGGTGTTGAAAAGTAGGAGGACAGGCCAGGGGTTGAGATGGAGCATCACGGAGCCAAGTCGAGCCTGGGGGACCAACATTACGGAGGGACAACAAGTTGGGAGATTTCTTATAGACTCAAAGAAAACCTTTTAAAGAGACCCCCTCACTAATCCCTTCCGCCTGGGCCTCTAGAGCTTTGCTGTAGCTCTTACGCCAGCATCTTAGGGTAACAGCCTCTGCAAACCTTTTGCTGAAAGTAGATAGGGTTGTTTTTTAGATCAAGATTTAGTAGGACAATGCACCATTATTTTTGTTACCTACATCTAGAAACTGCTAGTAAACTTGCCTAATTAAATTTATTTCTAGAGAAGGAGCAAATAGGGTTTCAGCCACTTGAAACACCCCCAACTTCACGTCATCTGAAAGCGGCTACGGAGACCTGATGAGACGTGGCTGCCAGGCCGTCAGCCAATGCGTCTTCCATATTTCATATGAGACCCCTCTTCAGGGCACAGGTATGGGATTCCCTGGAGGTCCAGGCGCCCTGCTCTTACCAAGGCTTCCGCAAAATTTATCTAGTTACCTGGTGGGACTTGGCTCATAAAGAAGAGAATGGGAAAGAGGTAGACAGCAATCCTCATGGTTGATGAGAGGAGAAAGCTTGGCTTCACGTCCCAGAGGCGGAGGAGACTTCCGTCTGCGGCTCTCTCCCAGCAGCGGAATGTCTTTGTCTGGGCGATAAGCGCCCTCTGTCCTCATTAGGGGTGCTCATGGACAGAGGCGTTCTATGGACACACAATGGACTTCATAAGGACATGGGGATCCGTGTTTTGTTGAACACTCAGTTCATGAGGAGAATGTGGGCGTCCAGTTATGGCCAGAAATCCTTGTTAAATGGGAACATAAGCTACAAACACACTGGCAATGGATTAAAGTCTATGAACAAAGAGCTGTCTGTATTAACTTACAATGAGTCACGTTATGTTGAGAAAACAGCCAGTTTAGTTAGCGACCAGACATTTTATTAGTGAACACTTCCCAGGTTTTATTAGCCCTGCTAATTAATCATCACCCTCCAATCCTGGTCTCAACGCCCAGGGAGCTCTGCTCATGGTATAGTGTTTACCATATGGTATGTTAGTTTGCTGAACATCCATTTACCTCCCTGACTAAAGAGTGAGCTTTTTAATTGCTAGGATCATGCTTTGCTCCATGGAACCGAGGAGAACGTTGAATCATGTGGTCATATCCTCTCAAACCCTCCTCTTTGGGTGTGGAAATGCAGGGCAGCGAGATGCCACTGAGCAAGGAGGTAGCAGGTCAGGATTTAAGCTTTAAATCTCTAGATTTGCTGCACACTGGAGGTCTGGACACAAGCAAGACAATTGACCTCCTCGAATACCAGTAGCACATAGACCAGGGGACTCTCAGTCATAACTGTGCAGCAAACCAACTGGGAAAGTGGCTTTAAAATGCAGACACCCAGACCCACTTCAGGAAATTTAGTTTGCTCAGGTGGAGGGGAACCTGGAAGTCTGCATTTCTAACACATGTCCCAGGTGGCTATTCTGAAATTTATTCTGGCATAGTCATTGGACGATATCAACTTAGATCATCCTTTGGCTTCTTTCTAGCTCTAATTAGAGCATTTTAAGTTCTCTTAGAACAAAGGTCGCATTTGGCTTTAATGAGTGTTAACATTATTGTGTCTGTGTGCACATGCATGTGCACATTGGCAGCACGGGGGTGGGGGAACACACCTTAATCCATGCAAAACTGGATTCTAGTTTTATAAGGAATATTCAAGGACTGGGCTGGGTGAGTAACTAAACTGATAGAGCACCTAGTTGGGAGAAGGCTACTGCAGCAATAGAGGCCCAATGAGGCTCCAAACTACAGAGAGGGAGGGAAAATGTTTGCAGAAAAAATATAGTGACATACAAATGACGTATGAAGTAGGTGGGCATATGTGAATAATCCAATGTTTTTGACAGTCCCCCTGTCTAAGAGAATGTTATATTCCAGCACTTAAATCCACGTAAGCCCAAATATTTTTAAACACTACCTTAAAAGGTGGAGAAATTTGTATTTGACATGAGAAAACCAGAAGGGTGCTTCTCTGGAAATAATCTTTAGAATATTCCTGCAGCATGAATAGTTGGGATTTAGTCTTGCCAAATTTCTCCAGCTTGAACTTCAGAATTTACAAAGGAAATTTTAACTCACACATTTCACCTTAAAATTTATTAAGGGTATAAATGAAAATCCAGTTTTACATTGCTTTTAAATGTTCACATGAGAAAGTAGATATTCCACTCACGTGTGCCGAGAAATAAAAATTGACTTTTCATCTGTTAGAAGTAAAATCTACCTATCTTCTAAGAAACACCTTCTTGTAAGCCTCATTCTCCAAACTGGCCATGAAACATTCAGAAAAACAAAACAAAAACATAGATTAACATATCACATCTTTCAAATTAAAAATACTCATCAGATAACGGAGTAAAGAAAAGGAAAAATGTGATATTGCAATATATTTAGCAAATAATGACTTGTGCAAATTGTAGGATGTCACACATTTGTCTCAAAGGTATTTGAATTTACAAATCCCAAGAAGTGTGAAATATAACGAACTGAATATAAATAAAGAGACAGGAAAACATACACACACACGGACACACACACACCCGTCCCCACGAGCCAATCCGCGCCCCTTTGGTCCCTGCCACTGGGAGAACAAAACTGAAACCAACTCCTGCGGTCGTCCGTGTGAAATTCCATACTTCACACAGGCGAGTTTGGGGCTCACACGTTAGTTCCCATCGAAAAACCAAAAAGAAAAGTTTAAATGGCTGTCACTGCAGATGGTCCGGGTCCAAACGCAGCCACCCACCCCAACAGGGCATGCTCACAAGAAGGGTTTCGACTGAAACCGTTCTCGAGCTGTTGGCAAGGAAAGACCTCCGCATTCGGTAAGCGTGGCTCCACCACCCAAAGCTTTTACTTCACAGTAAGTGAATCACTGAACGTGAAGAAGCGTGGCAGCCGCGGAACCACGGAGACCCACCACGCTCCGGAAGGAAACCGGGAGACTTGGGTTTTGCAGACGGAAGTGCGAGCCCGGAAACGCTTGGGGGCGGGCCGGAGGGACGTAGGCCCCGCCCACCACAGCCCCCCGACCCCGGCCCTTCCAGGAATGCCTTACCCGGCAGGCCCCGCCTCTTTGAGCTCGCAGTTTCCTGCCGGCCCGGAAGCAGATTTCCTACCCTGCGGGTCCCGTTGCCTGGAGTGAGTTTTAGGATTTCTCGCTCAAACTCGCACGTTGATGCCCGTGCGCCGCCACCTCCACACCGGAGGCCGGGTTCCCGGGGACGTTGCGGAGCCCGTGTCTGCCAGCCCCAAAGCGCGGGGAGCCCCGCCTAGTGAGCGGTCGCCGCGCTGCCGGTCCGGGTCCGCGTCGGTTTCGGGTAAAATCGCCCCGCGGCCGGATCCCGCCCCGACCTCGCTGCCTGCGTCCTTTCCACCGGCTCCCCTCCGCTCCCCGCGCCGGACCGAGTCTCCCCACAGTACCCCTGTGTGCCCTGCCTCCTGACGCCGTTCTGGCGCCCTGTCCTGGGATATTCCGGGTTCTCCTGTCCCCGAGCCCCTCCCTCTGGCCTGTCAGCCTGGATTATATGAAATCAAATTTAATGTAAAAAAACCTCCTCTTGCCTGGATTTTGTTTAATTGCTATACAGTTTTCAAAATGGCTTATTATTTGTTGATTGTAAGTATTGCTTATTGCAGAAAGGGCGTTCTAGAATAAGTGATCATTTGACTTTCCTGTGTAATCCACCCTCATGTCATAGCAACTGCCATGCTTTCTCTCTAAAAATATTAAATGCGTTTTTACTTAGATGTGTTCATTATTCCAAAATGCTGAAATACCAATGAGTAAAAAGATGATAGGATATAAAAACATACGTGAAAAACAACCTGTCATTCAGAGGCAACTCCCACTCGGTTGGTTCATTCAGACGTTTCTGTGTGTGTGTCTTCCAGGGAATCCGCCCTCCAGGAAGGCGGCCAGACTCAGGGACCATGAGCTCCCCGCCAGCCCCCCCAGGACCCACCGATTCCGAGCGTTAGGGCTGCCGCCTCTCTCGCCCGGACGGGCTTGCTGCGCTTCCTGCCTTGTGTTCCTCTCCACCACCTTCAGGTGTGCGCTCTGGCTTCTTGCTTCCCAGTCTCGCGCTGCTGGCGGGAGGTAGGTGCTTATATCATGTATTGTAACCCTTTTAGTGTAAAATAAACATTTAAAACCAAGTTTTCTGTGAAAAACAATTTAGCTTTGTTCCATTGGTACTTTTATGTAGTATGTTGCAATATTACTTTTCATAGTGTGCATTTAAAAAATTTATTCCAGGCTTATTTAAAACAAAGAGTCTCTCCCCTTAATTTTCAGCTGGCATATCATGTCTTCTGTGGTTGTCTGTGTTCTGGTCTTTCTTATTGAATTAAATCATACAATTATTGTTGTCATATCATTTCCTTTATTTTTACCAATAACATAGATTTTATCATTGTGGGTTTATCTTTCACAGCTTTCGGTATCTTTCACACCCTTTCAGTAGTTTTTTCTTACTCCTTTTCCCTTCTACTATTTTAAAGCCTGTCATCCACGTAAGTGAGAAATTTTTTTCTTTTTTGCATTGTCTTGTTTTCCTTTCTTTTATTTCCCAATGTTATCTTTTAAGTGCTTTTAATTTTACTTCTGGAAGGTTTGGAGCTCTGCCAAATCATTTTCCTTCTCTTGTAAGTCTTTGACTTTCATTCTTGTACTTCTGCTTTGAAATTCTATTAGTCAAGGTTTTTAATAATTTGTAAGCCATCCATTGCTGAAAGTATTGGAACATTTTTTAATGAAGTTCTGCTTCAAGGCAAAGGATTCCTTGGATATTAATATGCAGTTGCTTTTCACCTCTACCTCTTTTATACTTTGTCCTTTTTAATAGTTACTGCATTTTTTCCAAGTAATTTTTATGGAGTTAAGTTCTCCTTAAATGACAGGAATTCGTGTGATAGTTGGAGATGTGTGTCAGGGCTGTGCCGCGGCAGGAACCCTTCCTGGCTCCGCGTAATGCCTGTGTGGCACAGGCCGTTGGGAGAGTGTGTGGGACCGCGCCGCGGCTCCCCACAGTCTGAGAGGCCGGCTGTGGCGGGGCTGCTTTGTGCTGCCGCTGTCCCCCTCGCCCCGCCGGCAGCGCTGGCGAAGCACAGCGATGCCTGGCTGCTGTCTTCCCATGCCCGGGGCCCTCCTGTTTCACGCGCTTAGGGCTTCCCTGGGTATCCCTGTACTTCATTAGAAGAAAAAGTGTAAAGGTAAAATGACATATATTTGACATTTCAATAGAAATTTGCCTTGAAATGAAAACCCAGCCTAATCTCAGGGCCAATGCCTTGTTAGTCTTCCGAGGTCTTCCGTCCCGGCCCTTGGATTCCCCCGTAGTCTCTGCGTAACTCAAATCCGTAAGCCGTATTCAAGAAGTGTCTTCTGGGCACTGCGAACCGTCCTGGGGAATGGCCACCTTTCCCCAGTTACCAGGTCCTTGCCTTCATCGGGGTCTTCTCTTTCAGGTCCGACCGGAAGCTCGGTCCTCCCTCCTGAGCGCCCCGCAGTGGGAGAGCAGAAGAAGCAGCAGCCCAAGTCCAGCTCCCATCGCCCAGACAGTGAAGCGCTGTCCAGCACCTCCGACCCCTTGCCTCACCCGAGACGGCGAGGGGTTCAGCTTCTTCCTCGCTGTACATGCATAGGACAGGCAGAGGGCAGAGCCTGGTGACCGCCTCAGCGCTGCCTGCCTCTGCGATGCTGAAGACACTCTCCCCGCTGGGCCGCACACAGAAGATTCGAATTTCCAGGTACGGACCAGTATCCGGGGAGAGGGCTGTCCTCGCTCTTCCGAGAAGAGCAGCTACTTCGGAGCTCAGGGCAGAGGCGGGAGTTGGAGGGGTGCGGAGCACCCCATGGGCGCAGTCCAGGCCCCCCAGGAGGGAGAGCGCTGGTGTGGTGTGCAGGGCACAGTTGCAGCAGGGCATCCAACCGCCTCTGGCCTGTGGCCGTGCAGGACAGTCGGGGTCAGAGGTGGAACCTCGGGCTTCCCTTGGTTTTGGAGACAAATGTCAGTTTTCCTCCTCTGCAGAGTTTGTAAGCTTTGGAAGATGCTCGCTGAACATTCTGAACCGTGGAAACGTGTGCCTGACACCTTACTGGGTACGTGTGGGCTCTAGGGAGACCCTGCCGGACTCCTGGGGGCACTTGGGGCGCCATCCGGGCTCCTAGAGGGGCGTATACGATGGCTCCGTGGAGCTCTGCCGTTGCCCCGGGCCCTGAACGACAGTCACTCCATTCCTGATTCAAACCGAAACCAGCTCATTTTAGTTCCCCGAGTTTCAGAATGTTTGGCCGTTGCAGGGAGAGCCCCCGTTGTGAGGCAGCCCTTCCCAGGGCTGCGCGGGTTCGGGGTCCTGGGCCTGCAGTGGGGGAGGCCGCCGGGTCTGGGGCATAAATGTGCTGAAACGGCTCCCGCTTCCGTTAGGCAAGTGGGCGAGACCCAAGTCCAAACAGCAGCACCCACAGTGCTCCAGGTACGAGCACTTTACGCTCATGGGCCCATTTGTATCTCCTCCCAGCAACGCTCTGAAGGAGCGCGGACCAGCCCTCCGCCCCATGCGTCGCCGGCATGCGGGGAGGCCGGGCCAGGGCCCCCGCATGTGCGTTCACGGCCTGAGCCCTGGACCCCTGTGTGCCCAGGTCCAGGAGAAACCGGTTCAGCGTTCTTCTGGCCTTAGGGCGCTAGTGCTCCATGATGATGGTGATGAGGATAATTTTTTAAAAGATCAAAAATGTATATTGCATGAGTTTTCTTCAAAAAGAATTTGTTATTTTATATATCTCTCTCTCTTTCCATGCATCTTAAGATTATGTCCTTAGTCTGTCAAATGTTTAATATTTTCCAAAACAGTTAAAGCACATGCTACTTATAGGAAAATCAATAGTGAAGCTAAATTATTTATTCTAGGAAGCCCTAATATTTTGAAACTCGTAGGGTGTTACAGTCCTTAATACTTAGCTAAATCTGACAGGAAGAGGCCTACAGTAAATTGTTTTTCTACTTCTTGGTGGTAAAGTGTGCATACTGTAGATACCTGAAAAATGTGTACATTGGATATGTATTTTAAACACTAGTGTTTCTACTTACATGGGGTCACCCTGATACTCACAGTCTGAAAGATGTTAATAGATTGCAAGTCCTCTTAAAAATAAAGAGCAGGAGAGATTTCTTGCTCTAGCTTCTCCACAGCACTGCCCATAACAGCCAAAATCCAAAAGAATCGTGAGGCTTCTGGGAAGAGATGAAGGTTGTCTTTTGAGACTTTTAGAAGGATGAATAACAAAGGACATAATCTGTTGGTGAAATAATAGACAAATAGATCATTGAAACCCAACAGGGAGCCCAGAAATACACCCACACAAATAAAGTTTTTCTGTGGGTATATTTGATATTTGACAAAGGAGCAAAAAAAATACAATGACGAAAAGAAAGTCTTCAATAAAGTAAGGATAACAATTGGAAATCCACATCCAAAAACAATTATTCTGGACACAGACCTTACACTCTTTTCAAAAATTAACTGAATATTTATAACAGACCTAAATGTAAAACACAAAACTATAAAACTACTATGAGAAAACATAGGAGAAAAATCTATGTGACTTTGGGTTTTCCATGGCTTTTTGGATTAGATCAATACCAAAGGTATGACTCATTAAAGAAATAATTGATAAGCTGGACTTGATTAAAAGTAAGAACTTCTGCTATGTGAAAAGCACTGTCAAGAAAATGAGAAGACAAGCCACCAGCTGGAAGAAAATACTGGCAAAACATATTTGATAAAGGACTGTTATTATATATAAAGTACTCTTAAGAGTCACCAATGAGAAAATGAACAACCCCATAAAAAATGGGCAAACAGTCCGAACAGACACCTCACCAAAGAAGATACACACATGGGAAATAAGCATATGAAAAAATGCGCAACAGCATGTGTCATCAGGGAACTGCAAACTGAAATAAAAATGAGGTACGCCTGCAAGGCTGTTTGCAAACTGCTACAGCCACTTTGGAAGGCAGTTTAGAAGTATTTTACAAAATTAAACACACTCTTACTGTATCACCCAGCAACCATGCTTCTTGGTATATTTATCCAAATGAGTTGGAAAACGTGTGCACACAGAAACCTACACATGGATGTTTTATAGCAGCATTATTTCTAATTGCCAAAATTTGGAGCAACCATAATGTCCTTCAGCAGCTGAAGAGATAGATAAGTTGTGATACATCAACGTAATAGGATACTATTCAGCATTAAAAAGAAATGAGCTATCAAGACACAAAGATATATGAAGGAACTTTAAATGCATGTTCCTGAGTAAAAGCCAATCTGAAATGGCTGCACACTCTATGACTCAAACTGTATGATATTCTGGAAAGGTCAAAACTATAAGTACAATAAAAAGATCAGTTTTTATTCATCCTTTCCAACGGTTTTTAGGCAGCGAAAATACTCGGTATGATACCATGCCAGTAGATACGTGCCATTATGCATTTTGCAAAACCCATAGAATATACAACACCAACAGTGAGCCCTGATGTGAACTCTGCACTTTGTATGTCAGGTGGAAAGTTTGTACGTGTGGATTAGGGCCGAAATGAAAGTTGATAGTAGTGCCCAGTGTAGAGATAATAGCAATACGTTTGTTACGTACCCTCTTCTACCTCCCCCGCCCTCCTCCCTCGGGAAATCATCAGTGTTTTCTGTGTGTATGAGTTTCTTTCCTTGACCCCTCACCTTGTTCGCCCAGTCCCCCAACACCCCTCAACCCCGAAGACTGTCATTCTGTTTTCTCTGTGACTCTATTTTGATTGGGTTTTTTTGTTTGTTTGGGGTTTTTTGTCCATTAGAATCCACATATGAGTGAAATCGTGGGTGTTTGTCTTCCTCTGCCCGCTTATTTCACCCCGTATAATGCTCTCCAGGTCCACCCGTGCGGAGTGTCCCTCTTAAGGAATTTGAGCTCAGGAGCCAGGCAAAGCAAAATTAAAATGATAGATAGATCATTTTCTAGCTTTGCTACTTTGTTAGAGTACTGAAGTTTTTGGAACTATTTCTGTTCATAGCATTTGTTAAATTAGTAAATAAGCTATAATCAGCAGGTTTACTGTGAGGATTAAATAAGCAAATATATGTCAGCACCTAAGCACAGTCACATTTGATACAAATTTATCTTTTTTTTTCTTTTTCTGGACCACAGGTACAAATGGGTGAGTTAATTCTACTTTTGTCTGTCACACATTCTCATCATTTTTCCATGAAATACGTTTGATTATTATTGGTATTTTAGGTGAAAATTTGCAGTTTATAAAGACTTTCTGTGTGTGCTGCATTCATATGCACACAAGTATACGTGTGTGCATGCAGTGAAATTCAGGGATACTGCCACTACTGAAAGCTAATATAGAATAGGACTTCCAGCGTTTCAGCTACTACCTTATGAAAATATGAGATGGATCAGCGAGATTTTCAGCCAGTCTGTATGCTCTGGGCACCCTTGGCCTGGCGGGCTGAGGCAGTGCGTGACAGTAGCTCTGTGACTCTCATGTGTTCTCCTGCTCCTTTCGCATGCTGGGATGTGAAGGACTTAACTGGGGGATGGGAGCCTTTGACCTTGCCAAATGGATAAGCTACGGCACGAATGGACGAACTCCATCATAAAATAGGTTCTTAGTTGCTTGGCACCCGGGCTGATGGGGGACTTGAGAGCAGGAAGGGGCTGTGGGTCCAGAGGGCTCCGCGGGGGCTGGAGAACCCCTGCCGGTGCAAAAGGCAGGGATAACGGCACCTGAGGAATCCCACAGTGTCCCCTGCAGGTGGAAACCAAAGGCTACATGTGGCGTGAGGCAGGGATCGCTGTGCTGGGGAATCGGAGGGGATCGAATGCCCCTGGATGCCGTGGCCTAATTAACACACGAAACTCAACACTGTCGATATTGTTTTTAAATTTAATTTAGTTCAGTTTTTTTATCACCATTCATCCCCCCGTACCCTCTTCCGCCTCCACCTACCTTCCTCACCCCTGCATTCAGCACACTGTTTGTGCTCATGAGTTCTTTCTCTTTTTTCCTTTTTTGCTCAATTCCTCCATCCCTCAGCACCCTCCCCCACCCATAGATTTCTGTATTTCTGTGTTTTATTATCAACTGTAGTCAGGTCTTCTTTGCTTTGGCCCTGGGCGGGGAGGAGAGCCCCCTGTGCATTTCTCACAGAGCCCGCTGCGTGTGTGCCGGTGAAGCGGGGGGTCCCAGCCGGGGGGCACTGGGGCTTCTTGGTGGGACTGGAAATCGTGCGCAGGCGCGGGGTCTCACGGCTGCTCTCTCTGTCCCCAGCCTTGCCTGCTTAGTGCTGGGACTGTCTGCGCGTGGAAGCCCAAAGGAAGACTCCTGGCAGCTGACTTACTGACCATGCAGCCCCCGGTGAGCAGGGGACGCCTCCTTCTGCTTCGAGCACGCCGCTGCTGGGAGCAGTGGGCGGGCCTGTCCTGCGGGCAGCGGTGGCCTCGGCAGCCGGGCGGCCCCGGAGACCTGAGCCCAGGGAGCTCCCCCCAGGACTCTGAGGCGGCTGCTGCGGGCCGGGAGTGCCCGGGCGCTGATGTTCCTCCTAGCGTCACGCTGTTTGATTCCAGCAGGTTGTGTATTCACAGAAGAGCTGGAAGAGGTTTTCTTGCTCTCAGTCAGTCCGTGTCCTCATCGGGAAATAACTCCCTCTGTAATCAGGCCGTCGGCTCCCGCGGTGTGAGGGCAGTGGCGAGAGGGGAGGAGGGGGCGCAGAGCATTGCAGCCCGGCGGGGAGGCCGCGGTCCCGTCAGGCGAGGCCCGTCCCGCAGTGTGGCAGGCCCTGGGCGAGGGCTCTGGCGGGCCGGAGGCCGGAGAAAGCGCGAGGAACCGTCCGCTTGTTTTTTTCCAATTTTAAATGTAAGGTTCTGATAGAATATATTTGCACTTTTGGAAACTTCTTGAAAAGATAACTAAAATTCTCACTATCATTCTTGTCCCAAGTCACACATTTTGCCTTTTGGTAATTGACCTTCTTCATGTTCAGTAACTGGAATTCACAGATAGGAAGTGTTATTTCCTTACCTGCGGCTGCGCGTGCACGACAGGGAGTGGAGCAGAGTAAAATTTAAGACCATGTGGAAATTTCTGAAGACCTAGATAGACCAAAACCGATCAAGAGGCGTCTTTTGTCCTTTAGCATGGAGACCAGATAAAGCTGCAAAGGAAGCAGTGAGGACTGCTGGTTGGGGTCCCAGGTAAAGTCGAGAATGGGGGCCCACCCCACAGGACGGTCGGCTGGGACTGTCCTTCAGCACAGCCCCTCGGAGGGCCTGGCTTCGCTGCTGAGCCGCCTCACCTATTGTTTGCTGTGCTCACCTGAGTCCTGTAGAGGTGAGTGGGGCTGTGCCCACGGGGTCCAAGCCCTGAGTGAGCCTCTCCCATTTCTGATGCGTGCTGGCGACCGCGTCCAGGGCCTTGGGCACTTTGGTGCGCAATAGACTGAGGCCTTGTATTTACTCCACGTTTACTCAGGGAGGACGAATTTCATATGTCAGTTCATCAAATCTTTCAACACTCATAACAAGTTACTAAATCCTTTCATAGACGAGAAGTCTGAGGTTCATCTCGAGGAACAACGTAATGAGTAACGGTTTAAAAGTGGCAATGATGAGTAACTAAAGTTATTTGACAGTAATCTGGAAGAGACTTTGAGTTATGAATTTTTAGGGCAATTATAATAATCATATGTCTGGAAGTCATAATCACTTTAGGGAAACTTGCAGGTTACGTTACCCCATACTTCATATGCTATTCCTTTTTAATAAAGGTTTGTTGATTCTGACCGTGTGTGTCTCCATGACGTATCTGAAAGGCAGGTGCCAGCTCGGCACTGAGAATGAAGTGACAGGAGCCCCAAGCTCAGCTTGGTCTTTCTGTGCACCCAGCTCCTTGGCCCCTTCCTCAGCATTGTCACCTCAGCTCTCCTGCTCTGGGCATGGGCGGGGACCGTTCTAAGTCAGAATGTCCGTGGTGTCCTAGGAATCAGTGACGTTTGAAGATGTGGCTGTGGACTTCACCCGGGAGGAGTGGGCCCTGCTGGACACGTCCCAGAGGAGGCTCTTCAGAGACGTGATGCTGGAGAACATCAGCCACCTGGTCTCCCTGGGTGAGTCTCGCGTGTGCGTGCGTGTGCTCTCGTCACCCACTCAGTCGGCAGGTATCGGGAGCCACTTCACAGCTCTGCACTCTCTGCCCTGGTTCCCTCTTAGACCCCATGACCGGTCTCTGTTCGTTTATTCTCATCTAGTCTGTCCACCCCCTAGAATGCAGCCCTGAGCACCTTGCTACCCAGTCTCTAACACTCAGAACAGAACTGGAAAAGCGATGAGTATTTGTGAATGCGTAAATAAATTAATCAAATGCTTTCTAAATAATCATTCTGTCTGAGTCACTCTGTGAGGAGTGAGGCCAGAGCCGTGAAGAACGACAGAGCGTGACGAGTGCCAAGGGCCATCGGTTTACTGGCGCCCGTTTGAAAATAGCCCCGGCCCACTGTGGAGACACTCGCGTGCTCCGTTGCTGCAGAGGCTGGGCTTCCGCAGTCCGTTCCCGAAGGGGGATGTGGCCGTACGCAGGACCTCTCCCCAGGCGGGCCCTGGACCTCTCCCCAGGCGGGCCCTGGACCTCTCCCCAGGCGGGCAAGGGCCGTCCCTGTTTCCTCTGTTCAAGGTGGTGTTGCCCAGGGTGACCTTCAACGTTCTTATTCTTCCTCAATTGCCTATCCTGGACTTGATAGTGCACCTTCATTGGCATAGATCTCAAAATCCATGTACCTTTTTTCCATGAGCAGGGTGTCAGCACTGCCCTTCGGGTGTGACTTCCCAGCTGGAGCAAGAAGAAGAGCTGCGGAGTGAGGGGCCGGGACCCCTCCCCGGCCCGGGTGCAGGTGAGCGGCCGGGGCCGGCGCCCAGCTGAGCAGGTGCCCACTCGGGGGCTGAGTGCGGTGGGAAGTAGCAGGGGAAGGTCCTGGGAAGTCAGCAAAGGACAACAAAGCAAAATTCTTCAGGTGCTGTGTTATTTTGTGCATACATCAATCAGAGCTCGTGTGTTCTCCTGCCATTGGCTTTGGGGAAAAGGATTTTTGTGTGCTTATTGAAGTTAAACTTTTACATAGTAGCTCTTGTCCTGATCCTCCCCTTTGAAGCCTTCCCTCTCTCGACCTACCCAGCACCTCATCTCCATTTTACTGTTTTCATATTTCAATCCTGAAAATCTTTACTAATTGTCAGTGCCCCAGAATGTGTTCACTTCTACTTTCTAGAGAAGCCCCCAGCCCGTGCCGGTTTCTGAGCCACACTCTCATGGGCTGGGTGCTTTTCGACATTTTCATTCCCCTAATGCCATTCTAATTTTTTCTATTTTTTTAGGCAGGGAAACTGCCATTAAAAATCCAGAGGTGGTAGCCACGCGACATAGCCGCGGGAAGGGTGTGTGGGCCGCTGGGCCCCTGGTGAGTGTCGCTGGCCTGGCCCGGTCACCCAGGCGAAGACCTGGCGCAGGGGTGTCTGTGACCGAGCACAACAGCCAGATTTGTGTTGATTTGGGATTGAGCTGGTTCTGAGCAAAAAGTTTTAAGTAGTTTGAATTTAGTGAAGACCTAAACCTAAGCATAAAACTATAACTTGAGGTCTTAATAAAAAGACAACTGTGTAAATATTGCTTATGTGCCTAGTCTTTGAGACATACTGAATTGTTCACAGTCTATAAGCTCTGCAGCTGGGGTGCTAGAGAACAGAAAGTATTTGTGTGTGCGGAGGGGAGTAACACAGCATGTACGTGCAGGTGCCTTTGGACAGATTTTAGGTGGATGCTGTCAGCGCAGGATTAGTTTAGTGCTCAAACGTAGGGAAGTCGGTATGCGCACGTCTGCAGGCAAACCATTAACAGCCTTCCATCTCCTTCCCCAAAGCGGTCCCCTCACACTCCAGAGGATCCCGACGAATATAATGATCTGGGAGAGTTCACTCATAGCTGCACAGTGACTCAGCGCTTGCTAATGCACATGGAAAAGAAGCCCTGTATCGGCAAACAGGGTCAGAGCTCCCTTAGAGACCAGTCATACCTTAACTCGCATAAGCAGACTCACACCAGAGGCAAATCGTATGAGTGCCACCTCTGCGGGAAGGCCTTCAGTAACTGCTCCAGCCTCAGGCGGCACGAGATGACTCACACTGGAGAGAAGCCGTACGAGTGCCACCTCTGCGGGAACGCCTTCATCCAAAGCTCAGACCTTAGGAAGCACAGCCTCACACACACTGGAGAGAAGCCGTACGAGTGCCACCTCTGCGGGAAGGCCTTCAGCCAGTCCTCGAACCTCAGACAGCACGAGAGGACGCACACCGGCGAGCAGCCGTACGAGTGCCGGCAGTGTGGGAAGGCCTTCGGCAAGTGCTCCGCCCTGCGGCGGCACGAGAGGACCCACACTGGCGAGAAGCCGTATGCATGTCAGCTGTGCGGGAAGGCCTTCAGCCAGTGCTCGGCCCTGCGGCGGCACGAAGGGACCCACAGCGGAGAGATCATGAGTGCCTTCAGCAAGTATTCGGACCTGAGATGACGTGGGTGTCCCAGGGTCGGGAATGTGGAAGAACGTCAGTCGTAGCTCTAATGTGTAAACACCCTCAAGGGCTCACGTGCTGCAGAAGCCCTGTCTGCGATCAGTGCAGAAGATCCTGCGGGCGTCCCTACTCGCCCGACATCTGCAAATACCGTAGAGGAGGATCCCTTTGTGTGGCATCTCCGTGGCAGAGCCTTCAGCCGGTGGCCTGGCCACGGTGGCTGTAGGACAGCGCGCACCAAAAATACAAGGGACACCCAAGTCTTCGGCCACAGCCCTAAACTTGACCCTGGAGACACAGGGGAGACCCCTCGGTCTGTGGTCAGTGTGGGGGTGCTTTCGCTTAGAACCCCTCGTTGAGCAGCACAAGCAGACCCCACTGGGAGGACGCTTCAGTCCGCAGTTGCTGAGACTAGGCATTCAGCCAGGCGTGGCGCGCACGGGGGAAGTGGTGGAGCGACCTCTAAAACAGGGCGGCGGGCTCAGGCCTCTCGAGGAATACCAGCAGTTCACCCTCGGGAAGCGATTTGGTGAAAACTTCTGAGGGTTCAAACCGCACAAAACGCTCTCAGTGTCACGAAAGAGGGGTGTCTTCGGGGACCACTTGTTCACAGCCAACATGACAGTTGTCACACCGAGACGAGCCGTCCTAAAAGCAAAGCGGACAGGCCCTCAGCTCAATTTCACTCCAGAAAACTCAGAACTCAGTCTAGTGAAAAAATAAACCCTCTAAGAGAGCCTCTTAACTACTATTTATCAGATGATTCAGAATTTTGAGAAAAATAACTATTCATGGGGAAAATTTGGCATCTGGATGCCAGAGAGTGTGTGATCTGGAAATACTCGGTGTCAACTTTTGTAAGAAATTAGAATCATCTTTGTCCGTGGATTCCTGTTGTAAATATTAAACAACAAACCCTGCTGCCATAAAACCTGTGCTGGTGACGTCGTGCTTTCTCCCACACAGCTGTCAGCGTGGGTTTGGGCCCATGCCCCCGGCGTGCCCCCCGCGCCTCGGACCCCCCTTCCCACAGCTCACCGCCACCCGCCCTCTCCAGCTGTGCCCTGGCGGTGACCGCTGGGGCCTCCCCCACCTGGCGGCGCAAGGGCCAGGGAGGTGGGTTCGCTTCAGAGTTGCCGCCACCTCAGGGGCCCATCGGGAGGCCTCTGTCTCCTCCCCCAGCAGCAGCTCTGCTTCCCTGAGCGTTGCAGCAGACGCTGGGGGGCGTAGGGGGCGCGGGCCTTTTGCAGACACTCGCTGACACAGTGACAAGCTGAGTGTTCGTTTCAGTCATCTAGTTAGATTGCCTGCGTCCTTGTCATGTAGTACTGTGCAGTCTGCCCCATACCTGTGTCCTCAGATGATGCCTGGGAACCAAGCTTCTCCACCCTGGTGTTTTCCAGTGCCTCGCACACATTTACACACAGACAAAGCCTCCCACATAAGAGAGCGGGTCCTCGGGTCCTTTGAGAATTTCCTCCACGAGCCATGGGTGAGATTGGGAGATTCTTAAATTTAAATGGGTAAGATGTTGAATGACATCTAGAACTGTCTCCAAAATCGGTTCTGGTATTTCCAGCCCAGAGAGAAAGCCTTCTCGTGTGAGCCTCCTACACCGCTGGCCCCTGGGCCCTGGCCCTCGGAGCCCAGCCACAGGCCTGCGAGCGGAGCCGCGGCGGGCAGGCCTCATCCAGCTGCCTGTCTTGGCCGCGCAGGGAGGCAGCCTCTTGGCAGTTCATGTCGCGCGTCCTTCGAAACTCAAATCTCTTGCTCCGTTGACTAGTTCCTGAAGGTGAATTGCATGCATACGGGAGAGCTCCAAAAAGCACACAGCTGAGTATACTGATTTCCTTTGCATTGAATGGAGAAGATATCCTTAGGGATTTTCACATTTTAAAAATTGTTTTAATCAAAATACTAGAAGTCAAATAAGATTAAGGTGAAAGCAAAGTTGCGCATCTTTCTGGAGTGCGAGGCGAGCCCTCAGGTTGGGGAACGGCAGGCTTGATGGCAGGTCAACCGTGGCCATGCCTGGAATTTGAAAGAAAAACCAATGAGAAGACCTTGGTAGAACTAAGCTATGCTAAAACATCTAATATTAAAATAGGGTTGACTTGAAATAATATAACAATTATAATATTGATACAGTAATTAAATAAAACACCTTATAATGAAATATTCTAATGGTAAAATTCAATTAACATTTATATAACCTGTGCTTATAGTAATAGTTATGCAACAATTATTAAAAGTATACTTTATTAATATCAAAACTATTAAAAGTAATACTTCATGAATATCAAATTATGAAGTGCTATTAATATATTCTACATTACTAATGTGAGGTCAGAGTTTGATAAAGCATAATGTCACTGAAATGGCATCTAGAGTTCTTACTTTTTGTCAACATGATTATCTGCATTTCACAATTTAAGTATATGAGAGAATTTGTCAACCCTAACATACTACCTAAAACAATGTTTATAATGAAATATACTCCATCAAAAACCACCGCTAACGTGTCAAAAGCAGGATATGATTAAAACCCTTTGGGGACCTGGAAAGAGAAGGCAGCCTGCTAGTGTTAACTGAGACTCTGCGGGCGGCGGCTGCACCCGTGTGCTGACACGCACACCTGGCACTTCATACGCACAGTCACCCGGCCTTCATGGGTCGGGCGCACAGTTAACTAGTGATGTGCACCGGGTTCAGAAAACTTCATGACAAAAACTTCATGACCGAACAACCTCCGGGCTGGGATCCTACACATTCCTGACCCTAGGATCGATCACCCTCCCGACCCCAAGGTAAAACATCTTCCCTGTCCAGGCTTCGAACACCCCCTCCTGGCCATCTGTCCACGCAGGGTCCTCCCTCGGAAATCGCATCAGAAACAACCTGGATCCGCACCATGCCAGGGTCCAAAACGTCCGCCTGAATCAACCCAATAAGGGGTTCCTTCCGTAAACCGGTCCGGTGAGAACGCTGGGTGACACAGTGAAAAAGGAAGCCCATGGGGACGCGCCAGGAAATGAGGGTCCCTCTCAATAGCTGAGGATAATGCCCGCGAGGAACCAGGCACAGCCGCCTCTGGGGCAGGGTCTCTGGGTGCTGCCGTGGGGCTCTGTCCCCACACCCCACCGTGGGCCCTGGAGGGCCCCGCACCCCAGGCTGGGCCTGGGCTTCCCGGGCACAAAGGACATGTGGGTCCCTTGGTAATGGGTGTGGCGGAGCAGGTGTGCTCTTGGGCTTACGGGCCTGCATGTGTTTTTCATGGGACCTCGAGAACGTTACTGTTTATTTCCACGTGCTCAGAGAAGCAGAGGACGTGCCACTCAAGTCTCCCCATCAAACACAAGACAGTCCGTGCTGCAGAGGGCGTGGAAACACCTGAAAATCAGCTCCAGGAGCGAGCGCCCTGGCGCACAGTGGCTCCCGGGGGCCAGCTGTGTGTATTTTGTCTGTGATGACATCGACACCCTGCAAGGACAGAGAAACCGGGGACAGTGCTGTGTGACCACACACAACAGCTCATCCATGACGGGAAGGCCAGTGCTCAGATTCAGAGCGAGAGCAGCCATGATCAAAATGACCGTCAGAATGACATGAATAATGAGAATTCTAATGGCGACAGTCACTGCCTTCTGCAGGGGAGAGAATGCGTGCACACATCCGCTAAATGCGCGACCAGGCACCCCTGGGGGCACTGAAGAGGCAGGCGCTGGCCCAGGACTGCACCCCAGGGCTGCACCGTCCCGGGGACGGCCTGCTCCAGGAGGAAGGAGCAGCCCTGTGCTCTTTCTAAGGAAACCCTCTCTGCAAGGTGGAGGGTTGACCTGGACGTAGTCTGACCTAGTCCTGCGGTGGAGAATGGAGGGAGCAGGACTGAGGGGACCGCGTCGACCCTCACCTCTAGCGGTTCTCAGACACGGCTGCCTGTTCCCACCTTCTGGGGAGCTTACAAATCCCAGGGTTCCGCCCTCTGCCCCACACACGACCTTCATATTTCTTGGAATGGGACTCGGGAATGACTGTCTGTGAAAAGTGACCCACTGAGCCCAACGTGGGCCAGAAACCGGCTCAGCCTGCACACAAGCCCGTCTCATTTCAAGAGAGCAGACCCACGTGGGCACATTGTCAAGGTGCGTGTACTGGCGCCGTCCGCAGGGTGCACCAGTGCTTCTCACACCTAAGGAGCCACCCGTCCTCCCACCTCCCCTTGACCCTACGTAGAATGAGTCTGAGGAACGACCACTATTTAAAAACGACCAGAAACGCTCAAAACTGAAGACCAACCACATGCTTTTTGGCAGAATTTTATTAATAACAAAAGAGACTTGTAAACACAACTTTAATATGACATTTCATAAACAAAAGGTACAAAGTCAGGGAAAAGTCCCCAACCTGCATTCCACTGAATAATACAGGGGACAGTCTCCCCCCATGACGGGCACTACTTCAAACAAGCAGGTCACCCAATTCAGCCCTTTCCCAGTGTCCCCAAGTCAGGTGGAAATCTTACACAGATTCATTCCCTAGCTTTCTATTTATAGTAGATTTTAAAGGCTACTTTTGCAAGTTGACTTAATTTCCTATATAATCAATTAATGTACAAAATTAACTTCACATACTAGTTCTATAAGAACAGTCTTCAGTTTAATAAAAAATACCATAAGAAATATCACTTCACGTGCAGTAAAATAGTGCAGTAATTACACGTGTGTGTCCCCAAATGGAACCAGGGCCGCCCCACTTGTCCACACTGTGCAACAGGGGAGTCGCTGGTTCCCCAGACACACGTGCTCCTGTGACTGCCCCCCCAGGTTCACAGTCACCTCCAGGTTGCCCGGCGGGACAACGGGTCTCGCGGACACGGGAGTCTCACTGGCCATCGCTGCTTCGGAGGAGGAGGAGACCCGCGGGTCCTCAGAGGATGCTGAAAGGGACACGGGCACAGAGTCCCCCGGAGGCCCCTGGGGCGGGAGGGCTCTGAGCCGGAGGCGCCGGCCCCTCCGCAGGTGGCACCCAGGGAGCCCTCAGGAGCCTGGAGCGCCACTGGCCCTTGTCCGACCTCGTGAAGACCACCCGGAGGGGCTGGCCGGGACGCTGGGGAGCCGGAGGGAGCGGGGACACCGGGCAGGCCTGGACCGTGCTCAGGAGAGGTCCCGCGTGCGGAGGACCCGGGGCAGCGCTGCGTCCCGGGGCAGGCGTCTCCCTGGGCGCCCGAGGCGGCTCTGCCGGGGTGAGGCCGGGCGCACGTGCCGGGGGCCGGAGGGGCCGGAAACGCCCCGGGTCTGCTCCCTGCCTGCTCTTCCCGGGGGGCGGGCAGGGGCCGCATCTGGGTTTCTTTCGGGGCCGCTGGCAGGACTGCGGCGGGGTCTGGGCAGCCCTCTTGCCAGGGGCCTTGATGCGGACGTCGGAGTCCTGGCCCGATCTGTGATCAGCGGGATGCGGGGCGCCGGGCGACCCCACGTGGGGGCGCTTGGCCTCTGCCTGGCCGATGAGGGCACGACCTGGGCCATGTGGCCCGGAGCCAGGCCCCCGGACACAGCCCGTGCCTGCTGGGTGACGGCTGCCAGGGGCAGGCACTCCCTGTCCCTTAGCTGGTCCAGGCGGTGAGAGGGGGCCCTCGCAGCTCTGTGGATGGGAGACGCTGTGGATGTCGCCTCAGGTGTCCCGACAGGTGACCTTCTCGTGAGGACAGGGGCTCCCGCGCGTCTCCTCTGGGTCGTGTAGACGGGCATAGGCTGTGTTGGGAGCTGGAGGAGAGGATAACAGGGACTACAAGTTAGAATTTCCTCTCCACTGGGTACGAAAGAAAAGGAAACAAAGACAAAGAACACGGATCTTAAAACGAGACACGCACAGAAAATGCAGTGCCAGCATCAGGGAGAGGAGGGGAAGGTCGCTGACGCCAGAGCTGGTCAGTGCGACTAAAGTTACAAAGCCTCCCCAAACCACTCCTGACAGCAGATGGCAAGGAAAGTTCTAACACTGTCCCCTGTTAATGATGAGAAACCAGACCTGTGCTTCCTTCTTCCAGGAAAAGACAGAAACCGTGGTGATTTGAGGGCAGGTTGACAACTAATGAGCAGGGGCAGAACTCTGTATTTAGGGGACCCCATTTCGGGCTGCCTGTTCTCCCCTAAGGGGCTGCACCTTCAGGAACATTCTATTGGGATCATGACCACACCCTCCAGCAGCATGTTGCTGGCTCACATGCAGGCGTGAGGCGCAATCAGAGACACCCCAGAGGACGACATCAGGGAACTACACAAGGGAAGCCAGCTACGTCCCAGGAGAAGTCCCATAGTTCCCCCCCCCACAGGAACACACTGAGGGAACTCGGGGTGACCCCGAGGAGAAGGAGAACAGGGGCGCCGGGGACACTCACCCTCGTGTAGTCGCAGGACGCTGTCGGCTCCGTGCTGGGTGGCTGGGGCGGCCCCAGGGGTCTCCTGGGAAACGCCTGGAGCAGGGCCTGCCTCTGCCGGCTTTCGGGCCTGCGGGACAGAACGTGGTGAGTGGACGTCACTCCACCTCCTGTCCCCAGTGGACACAAACCTTCTGTGGCCCGGGCTCTGTCCCGGTTCCCGTGTGACCCTGGGAGTGAGGCCCAGGTGCCATGGCCGGACGGGCCCTCCCCTCACATCGGGCCCGCCCTCCCCCCCGCCTCCCCCGCCCCCAGGGAGCCCTCCGGGCATGTCCAGGAAGGACTTCCATCCGCACCATGGCCTGTCGGCCTGTTCTCCTCATGGGCCCAGATGTGGCCCCCTGCCTCCCACCTCCATTCCCCCCGGGGCCCGCCCAGGGGGAGAATGACCACCTGAGCGTGGCCCTGGGGTCACGGGTCCCCTTCTCTCTCTCCACGTCCCTGTCCTGGCCTGGAGGGGGCCGTGCAGACCGTGGAGAGAGCGGGCACGCGGGCCTGTGCATGACCCGCCTCGGCTGCGCCCCGCCCTCACAGCGCTCACCTGGGCCTCTGCTCCTTCCGTCCCGCGGCCCTGGGAGCGGGCCCTGGGTGCCCCGGGTCCCGGGCAGTCCACGGCTTCCGGTTCTCCTTCATCTTCTGGGAGCCCGGCGGCTGGGGGGCTCGGGCCCCATCCCAGCGCTTCATGGGGCACCTGAGGCTGCTTGCCTTGTGCCCAAAGGCCCCGCAGTCCCCGCACTTCACCTGAGGGCGGAGAACGGCACCGTGAGTCAGCCCCCGCCCAGGCAGATTTCAAAGGGGACCAGGCCGGCAGACGAATGGACACTGAATATGGGGCAGGGGCGCGGACAGAACCCTAGGGCTCCCGGGCGCCTGGCACCGAGACAGCATGGTGGGTCCCACAGCCCGCGTCAGAGAGAGAGGAAGGCAGGCAGGAGGAACGATGGCAGGGGTGCGCGCGGACACACAGACCCGAAAGGAAACACTTGGGCAGGGCGAGGCTGCTAGGACAGTAACTAGGGAGTGAGTGTGCTGCCCCAAGACCGAGAGACCAACCCGCCTGGTGCGCGTGACCCCGGTCCGGTGTCCTCGAGTGGGAAACAACCCGTCGGTTCTGGGCCCAGAACGCGTGCGTCCGGACCCTGCGTCCCCAGCGCCTGCCACCCCGGGCTCCCACGGACCCCGCCCCCGCTCACCCTGGGGTCCTCCTCCTGGGCTGGGGGCGCCCTCTGAGCCCCCGGGGCCCTCGCCTGCGGCTTCCTTCTCAGGGTCGTGAAGGGGCCACAGGGCCCGCGCCGTGGGGGACGCCCCGCCATCTGCCGCACCACGTGGAGGCTCAGTCTGTCTTTCTCTGCTGTGGGTCTGAGTGGCTCCTAAGGGGGAAAAAATACTTTTCAAAATGCCACAGAGAGAAAACCTCCTCGTGCAGCCTCGGCCCCAAGTGGGCATGAAGGGACCTCTTGACCACCCGGGAAACCACCTGCCCCGCCCTGGGACCCTTCCTTCTCAGTCCTATGAACCTCCTTCCATGACTGCCCGCTGCCGGGTCGGGGTCTAACCTGACCACCTCCCGCCAGGCCTACTCTAAGGTGCCTACCTACCCGCAGCGTAAGGCTCTGCGGCGAGACACCTGAGGCTCACCTGGTGAACTGGGATGTGGGATCTAAAAGACTCGGGTTAGTTCTGTCCCAAGCACCCTCCCGGGACAGGGAAGGGCAGTATTTCCCCAGGCCCACACCACCTTCAGCGCTGTGTTGAGTAGCGTATCTCCCATATCAGAAAAGCAAAATGAAGAGGCCCGCTCTGGGAAATTTGAATTTCCCGTTGGACAGAAGAGGTGGCAGTTGCAAGTACTAATTCACCGGGACAATAGCATTCTCTCCTCTACTGGACGAGAACTTCACAGCTCGGGGGCTAATCTGTTTTTTGTTTTTTGGTTTTAATAATACTGCCCTCCGTTTTCTCTTGTTCATGAGTTTCTAATACATGTGAGATGAATGTCTCTGAACTTAGTTGGAACCAATCGACTATTTACCTTCGCAAGCCTACAGCCCGACCTACCCGCTTGCTAGAACTTCTCACCCGCTGCTCCCACAGGGCTCAGAGCTGGGCCCACCACCTTGGACACTAACTTTGGGCTAACAATTAGCTTTAGTACATGCCCTTTGTCCCCCTCTCTGCCCAGATGAGCCATGCCAATGAAACAATGCTCACCCCACCGCCCAGAGCCCCTCCACGCCCTCGTCCCTGGCGCCCAGCGTCTCGGAGGGACAGCCTGAGACCCCGGGTGAAAGCAAACCCACCTGACGTCCGGCTGTGCTCCCGGGCCGCCAGCCGATTCTCGGAACTGTCGGTGCCGGGCCAGGCCAGGGCACGCCGTGCACCTTCTCGGCGCTGAGAAGTGTGACTGCGGCAGGTGCCAGTTCGGGGCTTTTAAGCGGGTCCCAGGTCACGTGAGAAGGCAGAGCTGCCCGTCACATTAGCATAACCCCCGTGGAGGGCGGCGGTCCCGAAGGACCACCTTTCACCATTATTCAGCCTTTTCAAGTGTCTTCGCGTTCGGGGACCCACGTGCCTCCTGTTCGGAGGGCGCATCTTCCGAAAGAGAAGCCTGCCCCGCGGGTCCACCTGCCGCTTCTTGCTGCGTCGCCTGCTGAGCGCGGTGGGCGCTGTGACTGGCGACGTCTTGAGTGCAGAGCGCGATGGCCCCAGCGCCCTGGCCCCTGCGCTGGGGCCCGCTCGCGGCCGCCTGGGCCCCACCCGTTCCTCCGTGTCTGTGGACCGGCAGCACCTCCATGACCTCCGCCGACCCTGTCTCCTGTCCCCGCCGTCTCTCCACGCGGCTGAGCAGGGAAATGCCCCATCGCGCAGGACCCGCGGGTTTGTCCTTTCGGACTGGCTTGTTCTGCACTTTGCCTTGCGACCAAGTCCCTGTCCCTGCGCCAGTGGTCCCCACCTGCACATGGGAGCTCCCTGTCCCAGCTCCCTGTCCTGGCCTGTCCTGGCCTGTCCCGACCTGTCCCGGCCTGTCGCAGTCTGTCCCCGTGGATAGGACACCAACTGGGACCTGCTGGTTCGGCCCCTCCGCCCATCGGTTGGAAGTTGCTTCTTTGCACCATCTCATTCCCCATCATCCGGCCACAGGGCGTTGGAGGCGCATGTCCTTTTTCTATTAAGAGACACAAGAATATCAAATTTTCCTGCCTATGGTCTCCTCCAGGGCTTTTATGGTGTCAGGACTTATATTTAAGTCTTTTGTCCATCTTCAGTACCTTTCGCGTCCTTCGGATGGAACCGGACGGCATTGTGCTAAACGTCGGATGCCCCGCGGAAAGGCAAACACCATGTGACCTCACCTGTAAGTGGAACCTAATCTACAAACAAACAAGCGAGCAAACTAGAACCAGAGATGTGGAAATACAGAACAAACTGAAGTGACCCAGGTGGAAGGGGGTGGGGATAAGGGGAAAGCAGGGGAAAGGTCAAGTGAAGGAATATGAAAAAGGACCCAAGGACAAAGCCAAGGCGGGCGGGAGGACTGCACGTGAGAGGGGGGATGGGTAGCGGAGGCGAGGGCGATGGAGCAATTGGGGACAACGGCAATTGAACGACAATAAAAAAGACACTCTGGGGAAGGGAAATGGGAACCCGCCGCCCCCATTCAGGCTTTTCTTTTTCATCCCCTGCCGCCACGCCCTCCAAAGCAGGTCGCCATCCCCCCACCCCCACCGGCGCCGGCACAGGTGGGCGTCCGCAGCTCTCAGTGCCGCGGGCACCTGGGTGGTGGCGGCAACAAACCGTCTGCACACAGTTGAATCCCCATGCGTTCACATTAGCCTTATATCTATTACTGATACATCTGCCCCATGGTCAGCCTTTCAAAGCGCTACAACACTGGGCCCGCTCGTGGGGTCCCCGCGCCTGGGGCAGCAGAGCCCACCCAGACTCCCCACAGCTGCCTGGGGCTCAGTCTGGCCGCAGGGCCGGGGGCCTGCCTGCCTCCGCCTACACCTCCCGCCACTGAAGTTGACGCACCCCTGGCCACCCCAGGCCACCGTGTGCCAGAACGGGGGTGACCGTCCACTCTCACGGTCACCCTCCCCAGGCCCAGGTAGCCAGGTCCTGTCTGAACAATCAGTCGCTTTTACTGTGGGAATTACACGAAGCTGCATGCACCGTGTGGTCTGATTCTTTTAATTATAGTGGTTCCTTTTGTGCCTCATCTCTTTTCAGGTGGAATCTGTTGGAATTTTGAGTGCCGTGAAAAGCGTTTCCTTGTAAAAATTTTTCCGAACCCTGAATATGTGTAAGCACCGCTTACTGAATGTCACATATTGAATTGGGGTTCTTTTACATGTTTTCCTAGGAACCTTATAAAGGCTTTCCTAATCGAACACAACAAACTACTTTTTTTGCTGTGAAGACTATTGTCAGTAATTTTCTTTTCTAAATTAGCTTATATATTAGTTAACTGTTGTTATGCAACTTTACATTAGTGAGATTAGTTTCCGGTCCACAATATAGCGACTGGACATTTTTGAAACTCACGCGCACTCACCCCCCTAATTGTGAAATCACTAGCTCCTGTGCAGCCTTACTGGCTGTATGAGCAATACCGTCCCATCCACACCCCTGTTGTGTGTAGACTTTATTTTAACTTTTTGAAATTATATAGGAATGCAATCTATTTGGGTGGTTTGAGCTGGATCTAGGGTTTCTTGGTTTCTTTGTTTGAAGCAGCAGATATTTCAGAGGTTCTTATCTGTGGATCACGTTGGCTGAGTGTGTGGTGTGGACACACAACTCCAGCCAAAACACACAGCGCGGGCGCATCCCCGCAGCGCTCACTGCCATCAGGGGGCACTTCCGGCACAGGACGCGCCTTCGGAAACGAGCAGCGGTGCTCAGGAGGGTCAGGAAAGGGATGTGCAGCGGAAGGGAAGTAAAACTCCATCTTCCTTATGAACATACAGACCAAATCATGAATGACGACCACAATGGGTTTCAAAGATGTCACCAGACTGGCAGCACACGGAAGACCTGCGCACAACCCCGCTCCCCCCCATCCCCCCGGGATTCACCCGGATTCAAACCCGGGTGAGTTAAGTCGGGTGAAGGACTCGAGCGCGGCGCCAGGGTTGCGGGGCCTAGACTGGGGTTACCATGGGGGCAGGTTGATTAATAGTAACTATAAGATTAGTGTGAAGGGCGCGGGGATTCAATATATGCAGATGATAAGATGCAGCCACCGCCCAGGTGCCCGCAGTATCGAGAACTGCAGACGCCACCTGGGCCGGCGCCGGTCGGGTGGTGGGTGGCGAACTGCTTTGGAGGACGCGACAGTCTCAGTCCGGGCAGAAGAAAATGCCTGAATGGGGGCATTCGTGTTTTCCTTCCTGAGTGTCTCCTAATAAAAACAGGAAAAGCGTCTCCAACCACCCGTGGCCAGGTAAGCGGTGGACGAGGTGCTGCGAAGAATCAACTTCCAACCGACAGAAAGAGCGGAGAGCGAGCAGGTACCAGTTGGTGTCCTATCCACGGGGACAGACTGTGACAGGCCAGGACAGGCCGGGACAGGCCAGGACAGGCCAGGACAGGGAGCTGGGACAGGGAGCTCCCATGTGCAGGTGGGGACCACTGGCGCAGGGACAGGGACTTGGTCGCAAGGCAAAGTGCAGAACAAGCCAGTCCGAAAGGACAAACCCGCGGGTCCTGCGCGATGGGGCATTTCCCTGCTCAGCCGCGTGGAGAGACGGCGGGGACAGGAGACAGGGTCGGCGGAGGTCATGGAGGTGCTGCCGGTCCACATCACGGAAGAGCGGGTGGGGCCCAGGCGGCCACGGGTGGGGCCCAGGCGGCCGCGAGCGGGCCCCAGCGCAGGCGCCAGGGCGCTGGGGCCATCTCGCTCTGCACTCAAGACGTCGCCAGTCACTGCGCCCACCGCGCTCAGCAGGCGACGCAGAAGGAAGCGGCAGGTGGACCCGCGGGGCAGGCTTCTCTTTCGGAAGATGCGCCCTCCCAACAGGAGGCACGCGGGTCCCCGAACGCGAAGACACTTGAAAAGGCTGAATAATGGTGAAAGGTGGTCCTTCGGGACCGCCGCCCTCCACGGGGGTTATGCTAATATGACGGGCAGCTCCGCCTTCTCACGTGACCTGGGACCCGCTTAAAAGCCCCGAACTGGCACCTGCCGCAGTCACACTTCTCAGCGCCGCGAAGGTGCACGGCGTGCCCTGGGCTGGCCCAGCACCGACGGTTCCGAGAATCGGCTGGCGGCCCGAGAGCACAGCCGGACGTCAGGTGGGTTTGCTTTCACCCGGGGCCTCAGGCTGTCCCTCCGAGACGCTGGGCGCCAGGGACGAGGGCGTGGAGGGGCTCTGGGCGGTGGGGTGAGCATTGTTTCATTGGCATGGCTCATCTGGGCAGAGAGGGGGACAAAGGGCATCTCCTAAAGTTAATTGTTAGCCCAAAGTTAGTGTCCAAGGTGGTGGGCCCAGCTCTGAGCCCTGTGGGAGCAGCCAGCGGGTGAGAAGTTCTAGCAAGCGGGTAGGTCGGGCTGTAGGCTTGCGAAGGTAAATAGTCGATTGGTTCCAACTAAGTTCAGAGACATTCATCTCACATGTATTAGAAACTCATGAACAAGAGAAAACGGAGGGCAGTATTATTAAAACCAAAAAACAAAAAACAGATTAGCCCCCGAGCTGTGAAGTTCTCGTCCAGTAGAGGAGAGAATGCTATTGTCCCGGTGAATTAGTACTTGCAACTGCCACCTCTTCTGTCCAACGGGAAATTCAAATTTCCCAGAGCGGGCCTCTTCATTTTGCTTTTCTGATATGGGAGATACGCTACTCAACACAGCGCTGAAGGTGGTGTGGGCCTGGGGAAATACTGCCCTTCCCTGTCCCGGGAGGGTGCTTGGGACAGAACTGACCCGAGTCTTTTAGATCCCACATCCCAGTTCACCAGGTGAGCCTCAGGTGTCTCGCCGCAGAGCCTTACGCTGCGGGTAGGTAGGCACCTTAGAGTCAGGCCCTGGAGGGAGGTGCTCAGGTTAGACCCCGACCCGGCAGCGGGCAGTCATGGAAGGAGGTTCATAGGACTGAGAAGGAAGGGTCCCAGGGCGGGGCAGGTGGTTTCCCGGGTGGTCAAGAGGTCCCTTCATGCCCACTTGGGGCCGAGGCTGCACGAGGAGGTTTTCTCTCTGTGGCATTTTGAAAAGTATTTTTTCCCCCTTAGGAGCCACTCAGACCCACAGCAGAGAAAGACAGACGGAGCCTCCACGTGGTGCGGCAGATGGCGGGGCGTCCCCCACGGCGCGGGCCCTGTGGCCCCTTCACGACCCTGAGAAGGAAGCCGCAGGCGAGGGCCCCGGGGGCTCAGAGGGCGCCCCCAGCCCAGGAGGAGGATCCCAGGGTGAGCACGGGCGGGGTCCGTGGGAGCCCGGGGTGGCAGGCGCTGGGGACGCAGGGTCCGGACGCACGCGTTCTGGGCCCAGAACCGACGGGTCGTTTCCCACTCGAGGACACCGGACCGGGGTCACGCGCACCAGGCGGGTTGGTCTCTCGGTCTTGGGGCAGCACACTCACTCCCTAGTTCCTGTCCTAGCAGCCTCGCCCTGCCCAAGTGTTTCCTTTCGGGTCTGTGTGTCCGCGCGCACCCCTGCAATCGTTCCTCCTGCCTGCCTTCCTCTCTCTCTGACGCGGGCTGTGGGACCCCCCATGCTGTCTCGGTGCCAGGCGCCCGGGAGCCCTAGGGTTCTGTCCGCGCCCCTGCCCCATATTCAGTGTCCATTCGTCTGCCGGCCTGGTCCCCTTTGAAATCTGCCTGGGCGGGGGCTGACTCACGGTGCCGTTCTCCGCCCTCAGGTGAAGTGCGGGGACTGCGGGGCCTTTGGGCACAAGGCAAGCAGCCTCAGGTGCCCCATGAAGCGCTGGGATGGGGCCCGAGCCCCCCAGCCGCCGGGCTCCCAGAAGATGAAGGAGAACCGGAAGCCGTGGACTGCCCGGGACCCGGGGCACCCAGGGCCCGCTCCCAGGGCCGCGGGACGGAAGGAGCAGAGGCCCAGGTGAGCGCTGTGGGGGCGGGGCGCAGCCGAGGCGGGTCATGCACAGGCCCGCGTGCCCGCTCTCTCCACGGTCTGCACGGCCCCCTCCAGGCCAGGACAGGGACGTGGAGAGAGAGAAGGGGACCCGTGACCCCAGGGCCACGCTCAGGTGGTCATTCTCCCCCTGGGCGGGCCCCGGGGGAATGGAGGTGGGAGGCAGGGGGCCACATCTGGGCCCATGAGGAGAACAGGCCGACAGGC